TGTTTTACTCAGTAGCCTCCCCCTGCTAGGCTGTGAGCTCCATAAAAACAGGAGCTTTGTCTATTCGTTGTGGTATCTCAGACCAGCACAACACCCAGCACTGCTTAACCAGGACTTGTTGAGTGAAGGAATGCATGCTAGGCTGCTTGTGGAAAGAGGGGATACAGAGGACAGAGACCAGGCAAGGCTGACAAAGGTGTAATCAATGACTCTTCTCCTGTGTTAGGACCTCCATGAGGCCATGATTGCACATTGCCCTTCATAGTGTTTGCTGCTGGCCTCTATTCTAACACAGGAGGGTGAGCGGTGAGCTTTGGAGGGACTTTAGGCTTGTGGGGGAGCAACAATTCTGGGCTCCATGTTTTTCCTACCTGAAGGGTGAGAGCCTTTTGGGGGATGGGAATCTCCAGGGAGGAGAACTCAGCCTAGCCCTGTTCCTTGTCTGTCCTTGCCTCTGCCAGGTACACACTGATGGGCTGTCGGTCCTGGTCTTGGTATTACTGCTCATATCTCACACCCTGTTCTTTCAGTGGGACATTTTTGTTGAATTTATGCATTTAAATGATTTAACTTTGAATACTTCTCCTAATAGTATTTACTTATACTCCTTTAACTTTCTAGTTTTTATTGTGCTTTTTAGTCTTTTGAGTAATTTTTTTTTTTTTTTAAAGTAGGCTCAAGCCCAACTTGGGGCTTGAACTCACCACCTGATCAGGACCTAAGCTGAGATCAAGAGTAGGATGCATAAGCCACTGAACCACCTAGGCACCCCTCTACTGAATAATTTTTAAGCCAGTTTGATCTTATTTAGTGGATGCTGTTTTACATTCCTTTTGACTCTGTCCAGCCAGTAAGATATTTTTAGCTAAATTTTGCCCTTATTGGAAGATACTCTTAAATTGTTTATATTTCTCTTCTTAGCCATTTAAAAAAATGTATCAAAATTCTCTAGTATTTTCCTTTTATTCTTTTCAGTTTTAAAACATTTTTTCTGTTTGGTTTATCCTCTCAGTCCATTTTCTAGCATTTGGTGCTAAGTTTGAGATGCTAAGGTGGTGATGTCAGGGGAGTATGTCACAACAGTGACTGGCTTAATGAGGGATTGTTGGCTCTTCTCCCTGTGCTGACAGTTCCATACAGACACATTCTTCTTTTGCTATACCCTTCCCTACTCATACTCAAATGAGATCCTTTTTGCTGTTGCTGAAGGATAATCGCCATGGTCAAGAAAAAGACTTACTCAGATTAAATGCCACTTTTACCCAGTCAGATAGTTTGGGAAATTCACAGGATAAGTTATATGAGTTGGAAGTTTATTAAGAATGGCCTCACTATTACTCAGGGGAATTGCTGAGCAGTGCCATCATCTTGTTCCAGAACAAACCAGAGCCTTCTCTAAACAACAAACCAGTCTCTGAGCATCTCACAGTCTTTGTGGAGAAGAAAAGCTTCACTGAGGGTGGGGAGTGAGGGTCTGCAACTCAGCCCCCTGAGAGTGTCCTGAAAGAATACCCAGGTGGCCTAGAAAGTCCTGTTAAGGATTATTGGATGGAAGCATAATAGAAGGACAATAGCCAGGCTGGGGAATTATATTTTGTTGACCTACTTACAGAATTAACCCGAGTACATTGATTCACCTTCTTTCTGGTCAGGAATTCAAAAGCTTGGTTGTCAGGTGCTTCTAGAACCACTAGTTCTTGTTGCATGTGTAGTATGGTCACTGACTCATGGAGGGAGACAGGGAGTGGGAGTTAGGTCAGGCATGGAGGGAGGAGAAAATATTCTGGAATGGTTTATTTCTTTCTTCTCTTTGTTATGTAAGATGTGGTTTTCCCAAAGAAACAATATGCTAAATAAAAGTTAGGGTCCCAACCCACAGAAGCCTATTTTAACCCATGTTTTTGCTGACTATATTAAATTTAATTTAGTTCAAATCAAGAAGGTAGATTTTTTTTTTCCCCTGCGAGAATAGGGAAGAAGGAAGGCTGTGAGAGTGACCCAAGTGGTGCAATTTAGAGTTTTCATTGAGCAGGGCAAAGTGTGTGTGGGGAGGGTGGAGTGGAAAGATGAATAAAGTGTGACCCCTGCCCTCAAAGAACTCACACTGTAGTTGGAGAGACAAACACACACTCAGCTAATATGTGCAATGATAATGGTGCAGGTAATGTCACACCAGAGAACAGTAGAATTATTAGTTCTAGGTGGGAACATCTAAAAGATTGTGGAAGATGTGGCCGCTGCCCTTTGAAGGATGTTAGGGTGTTAAACAGCAGAAGGGTGAGGAAAGGGTGGACGTTTGAGGCAGAGGAAAGGACTGGGCAAAGGCTCAGGATGGTCAGCTGCAGGGCAAAATCAAGGCATAGCCAAGAAGCTGCCACAGAGTATCAGAAGTGGGAGGGAAGAGCATAGGGGCAGGTGGCCTTTTTGAGTTGGTCCGAAGGTGTGTTCACACTTTTCATGTTGAATTACAGGCAGGTGATGTTCCAAAGTCTATTTTTTCTAAACAGATGTGGTCTGGCCTCAGCCCGAAGGGTTGTCTCATATATAATAATTTATTACCACAGAGAGTAAGAAAGTGATTAATTGCAAAAACATTTGTTGTATTTAACTTTCTTGGGATAGATTTTTCAAAGAGCAGCACAAGAGATGTTTTAATAGCCTTATGTCCTGTTTTGTAACTGGTCCATTCTGTAACACTGTACTTTGTGATGGATAAAGCATGTAAAGCCTTGCACTGTCGTTGAGGATACCAAGTCTGCAGGTTCTAACATGCAGTCAGGAGGAGAAGTAGAGGGAAAAATAAAGAAAGGGTCTCTAAGAAGGGTCAGGCTCAGGAATAACTTGCAAAAGATTGTGGAGATCTTATTTCAATGTCCACCTGTTTGTGAGTATCTGGACAGCATCATGTATAAACATTTTTCTTTTGGGTGTTCATGGAGTAAGGAACCTGTGGTAGGTGGTGAGAAATCAAAGTCTGACTTAGTGGTGTTTCCATGATTTCATATTACCTAGACAAGAGGCTGAATGGAATTTAGTCCTTTATTGAGGTACCTGCTTGAGCCAAGCACTTGTCCATATCTCCGTCTTCAGTTCAATTTTTCCATTGAGGAATTGAAACAGAAAACTCATGAGTAGTCTATTGAATTCCTGAAATTCCAGTTCACTTGCAAGTCACTAATAGATAGCAATATATATATATATATATATATACACACATGTTAAATATATTATAAAATATATGGTAAGATACTTTAAAGATATGCTGTTGAAATATTACAAACTAATTATTGTATATATTTAGTTTTTATTTTACCTGTTCAACATTATGCTCTTGAAGATGGACACCATTGTAATCTGATTTTGAGATATGCACTAGCAGCATCTTAACTGGGAAAATGTCCCGTCTTACCCTTAACAATATGGGCTCCATCTCATCTCATTCTTTTTTTTTTTTTTTTCTAATTTTTTTTAATGTATATTTATTTTTGAGAAGAGAGAGAGAGCAAAAGAGAGAGACAGAGAGAAGGAGGGAGACACAGAATCTGAAACAGGCTCCAGGTTCTGAGCTGTCAGCACAGAGCTGGACGTGGGGCTTTAACTCATGGACCACAAGATCATGACCTGAGCTGAAGTTGGATGCTCAACTGACTGAGCCACCCAGGTGCCCCATCTCATCTCATTCTTAAAAATACTGACTCTGGTCCCAATGGGGGGACCTTTTTATAGAAGCATTATTTTGTCTCTTGCCCTATGTCTTGCCCATGAGTCAAGAGAAAACCAACAATGTCAAGTGTTTGATCCTTGTACACATTTCTGTCCCCTCACTCTCATCTATAAGGAGGCAGCTTTTCGACTGTAGACTTCTTTGGGAAAAGTACAAATAATGTAGTTGTGTTACCAAAAATAGGAAAAAAAAAAACATACAAAACCATCCATAAAGCATGCTATCTGGCTAGCAATAAGAAATGGCATGTTAAATTATGGTACTTCTCAAAAACGGCATAATATGCAATTGTTAAATGGTAATCAGGAACACTGCATAGAAACATGAAAACATACTTAGGATATAAATCAAATAGAAAAGAAAAACACACAATTATAATACATAAGGTGCATATAGGGGAGTCCTAGAAGATAATATGATAAAATGGAAATACAGTAGTTCTATTAGGATAGTGGAGCTGTGGATTAAGAACATTTATTTTTCCTCTAACGTTATAAAGTAATAGTAACAGTGAATTCACCAAGTAAATGGTGCTATAGGTCCAGAGGGGAGATATCAATAAATAAATAGAGGTTGGATATTACAAAAGTGCAAAACATTTAAAAGAATGAATCTTCCTTCCCTACATGTGCCAGCTCAGTGGGTTATAAGACCCACTGAGTATTGGAAACATTTTCAAAGAAGCTGGTTAGTAGGGTTTGGAAGAGAGTCTCAGCTTCACCATATCTGGATTTTGTTTGCTGTGATTGTAATAGAAACTAAATCTTGAAACGGTTGTCTAAACGTGCTCCAGCTTGGGTATCTTGGCTGAATTCACACTTAAATTCAAGAAACATTTTGGAAAAAGAACCCATGTGCATAATAGATAAGAGTGTCGAACAAGAAAAAGTCAATAGAAAACATTTCAAAAATAAAATGCCTATTTAAATCAAGTTGAAATGACTATTTGGATTAACAACGAGTGAAAAAAATAACTGGTGCATACTTACATTTATGTCTTTCTGAAAGCTCTTGAAGGGAACAGGGAACAATCCTCATGTCTATTGAGTTAATATTAACAGTTTGCTGAAACAGTTGACTGGAATGAGCTGCTGTGTTTCCTCTAACAAGCTCAGACACTTTTCTCACCTTGCTTTCCTTTTCTTCCAAATCTTTTCAATAGAATGGCTGTTTTTCCTGAATACTACTTAACAGGTATTGGTTTGGGGCACTAGGCTACCTTGCTGTATATTAGGAGAAGGTTGCTTAATAGAAGACGTTAAAAATAAATCACACACACAATCACACATTTTATTCTCTCTGGTCAAAGTTCAGTCACCCAGTTAACATTTGCAAACCATTGTTTTAGCATTGCAGAAAATGCCCTCAAATGCATATTTAGATACCTTCTGTGTCCTAAGTAGGTGGATAGAAGATGAAGACTGAAGGAAGTTTCTTCTGAAAAAGAACTTGAAAATGTGATAAAATATCTTAGATTTCTAAACTAGTAATTGACTTTGGATGTGGACATTGGAATGTGTATGTGATATCAAGGAGTTTGTGCTGATTCCAAGAAATCAAAAAGTAACTTTTCCACTCCTTAAGCCATACGTAACACTATAATCATCTCTTTTCAGACCCTGTGTAGGATTTGCTGAGTGTCTGTGAACATCTCTCTCCAATGTCTTGCTATCTCTTCATCTCTAAAGGTGTCCACAAAAAACAAGCAAATTAGAAGTTTTTATTCCTAAGACAGTTATCCAATAATTTTCACCTTCATTGAAACATGATTTCCATCTTTCAAAATGCACTAGAATTATTAAGATGTATTGTGATTTTAGGAAACTCTTTTCCCTCCATGCCAAATCCAAAGTAAATTACATTTAGTGCAAAGGTATGCATTACATTATTTGGGGCTATACCAATATTGAAAAAATTTTACCCTTAATTAACATCTTCATTTTGTTTCCAGAAATGTATTTGTTGAATAAATAATATTTGGTAATAAAACAAATCTGCTTTCATACATCTACAAAATTCTTTTAAGTAGTAGCAAGAATTCAATCCATGTCATACAATTTTTATCATGAATTGCATAACTTTGGCATGAATTTTGCTGTAACTCATTTCCTGGCATTATATAAAGTGTCATTGACATAATGCCACAGAATATTCAAACTGGGAAGGAGTGACAGACACACTCTAGTGTAAGTCGGTCCCACTCCTCCTTGATTTCTGAGGAGCAGGAACTGAAGTACAAGAAGACAAAATTTGCCCAGGATCACACATCTCATTTTCTGACATTTAAGCCCTACTTAAAAAAAAAAATTATATACTTTTGATGCTGCACTTGATTTGGAAATTGTGATTTTTAAAGCCATGATTCTTAAGACTGAATAATTGCTACACTTAAAGACTTGCAGAATTGGACCTGAAATACACAAAAGAGTTTTGTCCAGAATTTTTGTCCTCAATTTCCCTTTTAGGAGAAAGTCGCTTAAACTATCTGATCATTAAAAATAAATCATCGTTCTTTGAAAGATGTAAAATATTCTGATATTCAAGATGAAATATACCACGATTTCTCTACATAATTTCAACAGGGACTAAATAGTATTCTGGCTGATTGCCCTCTTGTCTATTACAATTATGCAAGTGAAATAGAAAATACATGTTAGGATCCTATTGTGATTTTTTTTTCCTCAGTAGCAAAAAATTAAGTGTAAAATAAAACAGACCTTTGTCATGCAATGTTCACTGATTAGATGAACTTCATAAAAACTGAGCTTTAGTTAAATCTAGTATATTAATTCTTGTTTCATTGGCATTTATAGTCTTTGTGAATGTTGAATAAATGTACAAATAATGACACTTCCAGAAGTTTAACCATGGCATTTTATGTAAATTCTGCGTAAAGTTCAAGACTAATGTATTGACTTCATAGTTTCCAGGTTTTAAAAGGCATATAAGAATAGTAATTACCAGTACATATCTCCCAGAAAGGTTAAAGACACTTGTATACATATGTAAAGCCCATTTTGACTTGATGAACACAATTCTAATCTATGAAAATATTATGTCAAGTCATTTTGCACCTGATGAGGAAATTATACATGAATGATAGTAAATGTTAAAAAACACTTAAGATAAAGACCCAGTAAATCAATTTAAATGAAGAGTTTGAGAACTAACATAGCCATCTAAAATTGTTAGTTTTTTTACTTAGCGGTTCACACTTATTTTACTTTATTTGAAATCTCTGATCTTGTCAGAGGATAATGTCATAAAACTCAATTACATAATTCAACTGTTTTTAACTCCCCTTTCTCCAAAATCCACCCCACCTAAAGAGGGATGTAGCTTTTCTATCTTGACTTTTTTTCCTTCAGCAAATAAATATTAAGTGTGAAGAGCTTTCACCAGAGAAAAATCATTTCATATAATGAAGCACTAAATTGTTTTGTCTTTCAATTTATTCAGACTGAAAGCAGCTCAGTTTCCCTATGGCAAGCCCGTGTATCGTTTCATGGCTGATATCTGCAGCCCACTCTAGATTTTTCTTCCTTTTAGCAGGTGCTGGGTAGCACTTTCTGGGTTACCAGAAACATCCACTTTCTGGATGTTTACAAAACATCCAGCATGATTTAGTTGTTAAAAAGCAACTGGAATTGCTTCCTCTCCTACCAGATGCCTCTTCCAGTGTCCTTAACCCTTATCACCCTTCCCTAAAATATGTCCCCAACATGCCTATTTACATGGCTCTCCGGAACCCCAGGTTTGCATATCCATCACATACCAAGTCAATTTCTAACTGTGAAGGCTGTTGGAACAGGGCAGTTTCCTTCCCCTGGAAGCTGAGTGTAGCCACGTTTCTATCAACAAAGCGACTCTTGTATGCAAAGCTCAGACTATTGTCTCGTGGTCCCACCTGCCTTGACTCTGATTGATGTAACAACAGTATCTGTCATAGGGACTGTTCTGCTTGTAGGAGCAAACGATGATACTGTCCTGGGGCACAAAGAAGATGCTGTCCTCAGGCTCAGGGCACTCAGATCTGTCCCAGGCTGAGCATTTGGCATCCAAGGCACTGTAGGCTAAGGAACTGCCTGAGGGACAGTAGCCGTCCAGGTATCTGGATGTCTCTTCCTGATGCCCACTGTGGACCAGGCTCTGGCATTCTCCTTCTTCCGTGGGTGTGGGGGTGGTGATGGAACTGGCCACAGGCACCTCGGTCTGCCCCTGGCGGGGAGGCTTTCCTCTGAGGCCCACCTTCTTAGCCAGCTCATCTGAGCTTCCCTTGCCTGACTCCAGGTCTGAAGGGGTCCTCAGCAGTTCCACCACCTCCTTGTCCCTGGGTTTCCGGAAGCAGGGCAACTTGCGGGCCCACAGCAGCTCATTTTCCGGCCACTTAGTGCATCCCTCAGTTTTCCTGGCCAGGGCAATGGCTGCAATGCCTGGCAGGCAGATGGCTGGCCCGATGGCCAGGAGGGGTATGTTTCCCAGAGTCTCTCCTTTCATCCCAGAGACGGTGAACATGAAGCCAAAGACCAGAAAGACACTGACCAGGGCTACCACTAGCCCAGTCCTTGGGTTAATGTCATCAGGCCGCATCTTTCACTCCATCCAGGTTGGGGGCTGCTTGCTGGCTAGGGAGCAGCGGTCCTCCCTTCTGTCAGAGGCAAAACCACAGTGGGTTAAAAAACAAAAAACAAAAAACCAAAAACAGAAAAGAAAAGAAAACTGTCAATTTCCCACCCACCAACTCTCTATCTCTCATACTCTTTGTCTCTCTCCACTTGTCTGTCAATCGCAGTCTCTGGGTCTCTATTTCTTCCTCTGTTTCTGTTGCATGCTCTCTTGCTCTCTCTCGTTTTCTAAGTCTATCTGTCTCTTATTATTGCAGCTTCTGTCTCTTTCATATAAACATCCACCCACTGGGGTCACTGAGATACCTGAGGTTTCCTGCCGTCTCCCAGGAGCAGGGAAAGAAGCCAGTCTGAGTCTCCTTAGAAACCTCCACAACAGCTGTCCCCTCGGCTCTCTCCCTTGTTTCTGGAAGGAAAGCCTAGCTTTCCCCACTGACTCTGCATCCAGGAGGTGGGACGTGAGAGTGCGTCTCTCCCAACAGTGCCCGTCGGTCTCCAGAGCTCTGGGAATGGAGTGACAGCACAGCCCAGCGCCCGACTCTGCGCGCAGAGCATCGGGTGCTGGAGGGAGGAAGGACTTAGTCTGCGAAAAGAGGGAAAACGGCGCGCGAGTCTGGCCTCGTTACATCACTTTCAGAGCAAGCTCAGAAACAAAGAAGGACGCGCGGGGGCGCGAGGGGTTCAGACCCCAGGGAGAGCCACCCGGGCAGACGAGGTCGCCCAGAGCCCAGTCGGGGCGGTTGGAGCAGCTGGAGTCCGTTCCGCCGCTGCCCAGGAGGGCTGAGCCGGACGGCTGCAAAGGCCTCCGTGCTTGGGGAGGGCCGGGGGGTGCGAGGCTGTCGCGGGGCCGGAGAACGGAACTCCAGTCGGTTTGCCCACGGGGCAGCCTGGACTCCGAGTTCACCGTCCGAGGGCCAGAGATGCTAGCTGGAGATATCCCTCGGGGACCTGGATCTTTATCGAATCACAAATCTAGGTGATCCAACCCGACTGACAGCAGCTCCCAAGAGGTTCTCCGACTGCCCGTCTCTCAACCTCGAGGCTGAGGCTCTCGGGGCTCAGAGGGCTGCACTCCTCCAGGGTCCCGCCGCCCGCGGGCTGCTCTGGGTCCGGGCGCTGGGCGGCAGCGGCGTGCAAAGGCGCTCCAGCAGCAGCGCGGGCTGCGCCGCCGCCGGAGCCCACAGGACGCCCAGGCTGACACAGTGGTGAGGAGTGGGTGTCAGGTCTTGCTCGAGACTTCTGGGGAGTCAGCAGAGCCTTTCCCCCTGGTCTTCCAGCTCTGGACCCTGGTGGGAGTGGTTTTGGAGCTGGGATCCTACTCCAACACTGCGGTGGTGCCAGCCAGGCTGTCTGGGCTGAGGAAGAAGGGCTCTCTGACCCCGGATCCCTATCCCTGCGAGTGGCACCTGACACCTAGCTAGCGAGGAGAAGTAGGGGCCTTGACTGGGTAGGTCAGGCCGAACAGTCCGTCCTGCAGCTCCAGCTTTGGGGGATTCTCTCCTCCCTTGCTGAAGCTGCCTGTCTGTTCCCACTGCAGTGGGGGGGATGGATTCTTCTGGCCCCAGTGGCAAGACTGGTTTGGCTGTGGTTCTTCAACAAGGATGTTCATTTAAGCTAGACGGGGAATAGTAAGTAAGGAAGAGAAAAGAGAAGGGTGTATACTCTTTCATGTCAAGGCACTGCGGTGGAAAGAACTTTGAAAGAGCTGTGACATCCAGGCCTTCCCCTGCTTAAACAAGCTGTGTGTTCTTGGGAAAGTGACTTAACCTTCCTGACAGTCAGTGGACTCATCTGCAAAATGAGAATAGTACTACCAAATATGTGGGGAAGCATCATGAGGACTAAGAAAATGTAAAACTCTTAGCACATGCTTGGTAAGTGGTCCTTATTCACAACGTGGTTGAAATATATATTTACATATTATGTCATAATCAATGTAAGGCATGAGCCAAATCATAAAGGGCCTAACTGTGGGGCTAAGGACCTTCAGTTTTACCCAGTAGGCGATGAGAACCATGGAAATATGTTCAGCAAGGATCAACACAAAAGTATTCCATTTTTGACATGGTGACAGCCGATTAGAGGGCAGGTTGCAAGGGGTAAGGGTAGAAGCAGGGAGACCTCCCAGGAGGACAGTGCAGTCAGCCAGGCAAGGCATGATAGGGGGCTGAACAATGTGGGACTAGAGGAGGTTAGAAGAAAGTGAATTTGAAGCATAGTTAAGGGGAGAGTCAAGTGTCTTGGATCCGAGGAAGTAAGATGGTAGTAGGAGTCAGCGTTGACTCCCATGTTTCTCACTCATTCAGCTGAGTAGATCAGGAATCAGACTCATAATTTTCCATGTCATCTATTGTGTGTGTCTTTTGTACTCATGTTCATTCGATAGCTGCTGTATCTGTGGATATAGAATCATTATTTTGGGAAAGAAAGGGGAAACGGCAAAGGGTTAGAGTGAGATGCCAACTGTTTGACCATTTGTATCACTTTTTCTTGACAGCCTTACCAAGTAGATAGACATCTGCTTATATCCCTTGGCCAGAGGGATGTCATATGGGCCACCTCTAGACGCAAAAGAGCTTGGGAGATCACAGTTTAATTTTTAACCAGGTTCACTGCTACTCTGAAAAACAATAAGGATTTCGTTTGCAAGGAAAAAGAGGAGAATGAATATTAATTAAGGAGCATCTTGCGGGGTGTGCCACAGTTATTGAACACTTACCTTCTTGAAACCCTTTCTTGTCTTGCCTTTACTGACACCATTCTATCCCAATTTCCCTTCTATCCTCTTGGCCACTCATTCATCAGCTACTTGGTAATGTCATCTTTATTTTATTTATTTTTATTTTTAACAAAGTCCTGGGATGCTGATCTTCTGCTGGCTATGTCCCTGTTGCTTCCTTCCTGACTTCTTTTCCCACTTTATAATAGTTTTAAACACCAAGTGGATAGGATGACAACCCCTAAATTTATCTCATTAACTTTGTCCTTTTTCTTAAGTTTCAGATTTGTAATACCTAGCTGTCTGCTTGATATCTGTCTATATGGTACACAGACACCTCAAACTCAACATGACCCCAGTTGAGCTCATCGAATTTCCTTGAAACTTGCTTGTTCTCATTTGACCCCAGCTGAGATGTTTGCACCTGTCCTCTCTTCCTTCCTCTCCCTAACAACCTGCACCCTGTAAGTCACCCAAGTCATCATAGTCTTACCTCCTAAATCCCTTGATCTTCTCCTCTTCTACCTGTGGCCTGACGCAAATCACTTTACCTCCCTGGGTTTTAATTTCCTGTGAAACAAAGGCTTTGGATGAGGGGCTAGCTGAGGTTCGTTTCAGCTCTACCAATCCATGCTTCTCTGAGAGTCACTTCTGCAGGGTCGGACTGATGTCTTTGTTGTGTAGGTGCTCTGACAATAGTGCTGGAAGCCAGTTGGATTTTACTTTTTTTATTTTTTATTTTAACATTTATTTATTTTTGAGAGACATAGCATGAGCAGGGGAGGGGCAGAGAGAGAAGGAGACACAGAATCCCAAGCAGGCTTCAAGCTCTGAGCTGTCAGCACAGAACCTGACGTGGGTCTCGAACCCATAAGCCGTGAGATCATGACCTGAGCCGAAAGTCAGATGCTCAACTAACTGAACCACCCAGGTGCCCCTCCCCCCAAGTTGGATTTTAAATAAGCAATGTTGCTGAACAGAGACCTCTATTCACTTGTACAATCATCTAATTCCATTCTGACTTTTAAGCCATGCAGTTTATCTACTTAAGCATTAGATAAGAGCCATGCATAAAACCACAGGAAACTTCAATTACTGTTTAGTTATAAGCCTGATTCTTGAAGCAGTTCCTTCTTAGAGGTAATTTCAGATGGTCTTTGAACAGCAGGTATACTTGCCCAAGCCCAGCAGCAAAAGTGAGTGTGTGTGTGTGTGTGTGTGTGTGTGTGTGTGTGTGTGACATCACTCAGGGTCACAATAGTCAGAGCCAGAAACAGCATTCCTAGTATTTAATTCCTTGCCTGTACAGGCTGATTGGACTAGGATTTTAAAGCCTTAAGCAGTTCTTGTAATGCTGTAACCATATACAGCTATGTACAAAAGCTTTTCATCAGAAAAGAAAGGAAATTCAGGTTAGAATGAGGCTTTGGCATGTGGGTATTTGAGAAGGAAATACAGAACCTTTTATTTCTGAAATTATAGAAATCATGGGATGCTGGAATTTGAAGATACTTTGTAAAATATCTACTCTAACCCCCTTTATCGTTCAGGTGAAATCCAGAAAGGTTGTGTCTATGCAGTATTACTTGAGTATCTATTATGTGCTTGGCACTGTGCTGTGGATACAAGTCAAACAGGATATGGTCTGCCTTTATAGAACTCACATTCACAGAGTTGAGATGGGTGTATTAGCAGGACAGGATAGATTGTGCCGTGGCAACGAAAGACTTCCAGACCTCAAGGGCTGTATTCTCATACTGCATGTTTATGATGGGTCAGCTGCAGCCTTGCTCCATGTTGTCTTCACTCTGGGATCCAGGCTGATAAGGTAGCCTCTATTTAGGACATTCCCCATTCATTGAATCCACGCAACTCAGCTAGAGGCCCTGCACTGGGCCTTCACTGTAGTGGATACTCCCTTGGCTCCTCTAGCTATGCCCTTCTTTATAGACCAAAGTGATGTGCCATACCTGCACACCTTCCTGCCCTTTCTAGACCATGTGATAGGTACCTGGAAACCTAGAATCCCCTGCCCAAACAGTCTATACTTGCTTCCAGAGCTTGTGCATAGTTCTTTGCTAAGTCCATCCTCCCAAGTGTTGTGAAGGTGTGCACATCCCTAGGCCTGTGGGATAGCTAAGGGACCACTGTGTTTTGAGTATGGATAAAGCTCTGGTATGCAAGATGGGATGTCTAGACTCTGCCTGTCAGCCCTTTCATGGTTTAGAATAGAACCAGGGATGGGAAGAGAAAGGCAGCATTCACTTTATTTTTGCCTAGAAACTCACACACGTTAGAAACAGGCCTGGTTGGATGTTTTGGGGAAAGGAAGGAGAAGTCCCAACTGTTTGACAGGCTCCTTAGCTGTGCATAGAAAATAGACTTAAGGCAGTTCAAGAGCAGGGAGACCGGTTGGGATACTTTACATCTGTCCAGGTGAGAGATGATAGTGACTCAGACCAGGGTCATAGCACGTGGCAAGAAGTGGGTCAGATTCTGGATGTATCTTAACCTAAGCTGACAGTATTTACTGATAGATTTGGGATGTGAGGGAAACTGAGCAATCAAGGATGATTCCAATACTTGAGATTTGAAGTGGGAAATCAAGAACTTGGATTTGGACATGTTAACCTGATATGTCGAACTTGACAATGTTGATAGAGTTGGTGTGCAAGTCTGGATTTTGGGAGAGAAATCTGAGCTGGAGATAATTTCTGGAGCTGCTGGGATATGGCTAGCATCTAAAGCCCTGGAGCTAATGAGATAACTTAGGGATCAAACATTGATAGGTTTGAGAAGTCCATATACTAATTACTAAGGAACATCAACTTTTTGAGGGTGGGGAGATAAGGAGGAACTAGCAAACTAGCAAGAGACTATGAAGAATTGACCAGTGAGGAGAGAAAATGAAGAGATGTCCAAGAAACAAAAACGAAGAAAACATTTCAAGGAAGGGGCAATGATTGCATCAACTCTGTTGCTACGTCAGATATGAAAAGGGCTAAAAAGTAACCACTGGGCTTAGCAACGTGAAGGTCATTGGTGACCTTTAAAAGAACAGTTCTGGTGGAGTGGATGGGGGTGAAAGTTTGATTGAAATGAGCCCAAGAGAGAATTGGAGAAGAAGATCGGATAAGGAGAGGAGAGATAACTCAAATGAGTTTTGTTGTTAAGGAGAATAGAGAAATGAGATGAGACCCAGAGGTGGTCATGTGGGGTCAAGAGATAAACTTTTTATTTTATTTTTTAAATGTTTATTTATTTTTTGAGAGAGAGAGAGCAAGCGGGGGGTGGGGGTGGGCAGAGAGAGAGGGAGACGAGAGAAGGAATCCCAAGCAGGCTCCACACTGTCAGGGCGGAGCTCCACGTGGGCCTCGAACTCACAGCGAGATCATGCCCTGAGTCGAAATCAGGAGTCAGATGCTTAACCAACTGAGCCACCTACACGCTGCGTTAAGAGAAAACTTTTTAAGAGATGGGAGGTCTCTTAGCATTTTTCCTGTAAAGATGTAAGATGTAAATTTAAATGACCTTTTTTATCCATTAATTTTGTAAATATAAAAAATAATACCAATAGTAGGGGACAGCGTGCTAAGATGAGCACTTGTATATGTTGATGGTGGGAATGTATTGGTAATAATTCTTTTTTTTTTTTAAGTTTATTTATTTACTTGAGAGACACAGAGACAGTGCAAGTTGGAGAGAGATAGAGAGAGAAAGTGAGAAAGAAGAAATCCCAAGCAAGCTCCGTGCTATCAGTGCAGAGCCTGATGTAGGGCTCAAACTCACGAAACTGTGAGATCATGACCTGAGCTGAAACCATGAATCCCACGCTTAACCAAATGAGCCACCCAGGCGCCCTGGTAATTCTGGAGTGGAAGAAACGTGTCCAGATATGGCAAGAGCCTTAAAAAAGTTCATACCTTTTACGTGATCATTATGTTGAAAAATGTCAATAATTGGCGTGTATTGATGGGGAGAACAGACCCAGGCACTATCTGAATAAATTAATTGGTATTTACTTATCTCAAGGTGTATAAGGAGGTCCCCACAGCTTCACTAGGGGGCACACAGGTGGGGATGGTAGTGTCTGAGTAA